AAAATCTGGGGTATCGTAATAGCCATGTTCAGTTTAAATTTGTATTCAAGTTTAAATCCTATGAAGATTGGTCAAATGTGATAGTTGAACTTATACATGTACTGCCTATTTGTCTGTTGTAACAACATATCACTTACATCTCGGTTTGTACATCACAGTAAACCAGCTCGATAGCACACCTTTGTCGGTCCTATGATTCATCTCCAGTTGTTGATTACTACATTTATATTCTATTGCCAGCTTGAAGAGAAACAAAGACAAGAAGGAAAACACCGAGTTGAGACAAAGACTCCTTGGAAAACAAAACTATTCCACAAAAAAGACGAAGGATGGCAATATAAGCATGTACTGAAAAAAACTCCTCAGCCAAGCTCTTGAAAGAACCAGGAATTCCCCCTTAAATGTTTGCCCTCGTGTGTTTAAATTTTCTGCTACTTTTGTTTTTATTTCTCAGGCTGTTTCAGGTGTATGTATAGCCAAATTAAAAATTATTGTGCAACAACAAAAATTCACCTTAAAGCGTGGGAGTCGTCACCTGCGCATGCGTCAGATGACCATAGCGTTTCATTGTTTACAAACGTCTACCCATGAGCCTTTGCGTTTTTAGCATGTGTTGTTATCATTACTTGGAACTCAATTCCTGCGCATGCGCAGGTGACGACTCGCTTTAATAATAACTGTAATTTATGTGGATTGTAGCAGGCTACAATTATAAGAAAAAACAGAGTTTTTTTATCCCAACCCTAATACTTTGAAGTGTAAGTAGGGATTTGGAAAAGACATAGATCAACTCCTGCATGACTGTATTGTAAAAATACTTTTTCTACTGTTTGCCAATCAGTCCTTTAGTTTGTGATAGAAAATGCCCTCTTTGATTTGGGTTCATTTAAACTCTTCTTCAACTTTAATGCTGAGTATCCATCAGTTTATCAATTTTTGTTGATATTAGCTTTTCATATTTACTCTGCTAAATTATCTATTATACATGTACCATATTTGAGACTGGCGCATCTCTAATAGGAGTGCATCTCTAGTAGGAGTGCATCTCTAATAGGAGTGCATCTCTAGTAGGAGTACATCTATAGTAGGAGTACATCTATAGTAGGAGTACATCTATAGTAGGAGGGGCGCATCACTAATAGGTGTGACGCATCAGTAATAGGAGTGGTGCATCACTAGTAATAGGAACCAAAATTGCATTTAGAGGATGCTGGATCATTAAAATATTGTTTACTGTAAAATACTTTATTTTCACTGGAGGGATGATACAGTGAATGTAAAATCCAGTGAATATACCTTTCCTATATTTTACATTCAACTCATTAGAAATCAGGGGTAAATACATAACTCTCAAAAAGTCTTTTCAGCAAAAATTAATTCCAGCTAAAATAAAGTATTTAACAGTATTTTGCCAAAATACATCCAGTCATTTACATAAATGCATGGGCTGCTAATGGAACAAATACAGCATTTGTAATTTTAGTGTACTAGGACGGTTAAGATAAGCATACATGTATGTATATGTCTGCTACTGTACTTCTCCATGTGGACTGCTGTGGTATCTAAGATTATTCGCTGTTACTATCTTAATGACTTCTCTGGCTAGTGACAAATATAAAATATCAGTTTCTATTTTCATCCACTCTTTAATTGTTGCTAAAAATGAATCAGAATTTTAAAGTAAATTACAGAGTAATGTTCAGTTTTAATGAAAACATATTTTTCATTGCAACAAAATATAAGAAATTATTAACAAGGAATTTTACAATGTTTGTCAGAAAACGTTTTGCATTATTTCCAAACTTTTCAAAGTTTGCATCCCACTTTTCTTGTTGTTAGCGATTACTTCTGTAAATTATTATATTGTTGTTTTGATAAATCTTCATGATTAGATGACTTAAGGGCATTTATAACGATGATTTTTCGTTAAAATCACAATCTGACTAAAGTATGATTTCTGTCGTTGAGACACTTACGTGATATGCATCGTGATAGGACTTAGAAATTGCAAGATTTGAACAAGACTTAATCAGATTTATCTGTGGCTGTCACAAAAACAAACAATAACAACATTACAACATAAATAAAGACAGGAATGTATATTCATAAGCCAAAACAATAGATCTTTATTTGAGGCAAAAATCACTGCTAGAATTTGTCTTCTGAAATTAAATCAGTTCACAGTACTCTTGATTTTTGGCAATAACATCTACCGTATTTGTTCTGTTTGCAGCGCATGCACTCGTTTAATTTACAGAGGTGTGTCTATGGTCAAAATAAGTCATAATTTAATTATCAGTTTATTTGCAATTTTATTGGAGATGAGCTTCTAGGAGCAAATACGGTAGCGGGGATTACGATTAGTAGTGTCGATTCCTGATGACTATGTAAAATAATATTCATCACCGTTAATACATTGACATGTAATCAACTCAATGGTTCAAACGATGATATTTTTTTGGGTAGATACTCGCTAAGTTTAGTTAATTATGTAAATAGTACACGTATGTGAAATATTGTAATGAGAAAGAACACGTTATTTTACATAAATAAGATATATATATATATATTAATGTTGGTATTTAGTAGCTTAGACTAACTGTTGTTTGTATAAATATCACTACCGTGTAGTACTAGTTACGCTGTTACAGAGTTCATAATCCTAATCCTAATCCAGTGACCAGAATGCTTTGCATATTCTATATTTCGAGACATTGTAGATCAAGTTTCCTCACTGCAGTAGTATGCCTGCATGCAGGATGCTAACTTCGACAATGACAACGACGACGACGACGACAGGAGTTATTGACTTTCTTGAATCAAAGCAACATGACTGGCACTTAAAAAGTTTATGCATTCTGGCAGCTCCAGATTACCAAACAACAGATACACGCAGTGGGTATTATAATTGGTGCTAATAATAATAATAATCCAGCTTTTGTTTTTCATACACCTGCACTGTACCTTACAGAGTGTATGAATACAGTATTACTGTTTATGGAAATATGTCTTGTATTTTTGATTAATTGAAAACCCCCCAAGCTGTATAGATGGAGCTTATATTCCATGGAAGGTTAAACTTTGGGGTATGTGAAATAGACGCGAATTACAGCTAATCAGAATAGTTGATTTGAATTGTGTCTGTTCACGAATATTTCTAATGCTTTTGACAGATAGCTCTGTTTAATAATAGTTGATCAGTTCTCAACTGAGCATGGGCTATATGCTATTTTTGTCATATTTCAATGCGAGGGTTCATTGTACTTTTATGGTACAAAAAAGGTTATTTACCCACCATTTTGACTAGTACTAGTATTTTAGGAAGATTTTAATTATTATGTCAAACTGATCAATACTATATGGTCTGTACCGGTAAGTTAAACAGGGTGCCTCGACATAATGTATCCAATAGTGTTAGAACAGAATGACAATTTTGTGTTAAGATTGGTGCAATATCGTATATACAAGAGAAATAATTATTCCATTTGAAATTTTAGATTCCATGTTGTATATTTTGTCATGGTTTGTTTGATGGGCGTTCATGAACACCCAGTCAGGGTAGTATCAAATTTTAGAAATTATCATAACAGCTGAATTATTTTTGTACAATTTTGAAGTCTAGTTTTTCTAGATGGCATTGTGATTCTAGATATGCCACTATAGAAGTGATAGCAGTTGTATGGACCATAACAAAAAGGTAAAATAATTCTTGGGTAATTATTGCTGTACCTGTGAAATAAATTAATGTATTTGAAACTTGATATTGATTGGCAGATACCAGAGTGTTAATAAGTTTTTTACAGCAAGTATCAGAAATATAGGAACAGCAAATTAGCAAACAAGCTCAATTCACTGACAAATTTGATCATTGCAAACAATTTGGCATATTTTTTAGTCCTGTAGAACCTTGTAAACTTTTGAGACTTTTTTTTTTCATTTTCACGAGAAAATCAATTATTTCTAGAATTCCGACACTGTACATGTATCTCTGTCATCTATGGACTGATTTAGTTCAAAAGTTAGAAAAGACGGGTATCAGGGACCTTTATGTACATAGTTTTGTTACTCAGATCAGATTCAAAATGGCCGGCTGGTGGCCAGCAGCTGATGCTCTTCCATCATCGTATATCTGATTTGCCTGGACTGATTGCACTCAAAATTCACACCTCCCGGACACATATTGTATCTCATGCATATTTGTATCAAGTTGTGATTCAAAATGGATGTCTCATTTCATTTTACTATTGTACAACAGGGACTGTGTCCATGTAAAACAGACCACCATTGAGGCATCAAATGTCATACCACGTCATATAATATATGGGTCCCATGCAACATAACATATAGTAACATGTGAAAAATACATTGTTTGTACACAAAACTCTATTGCATACTGAACGATGTAATACTGAAAACGTAGATAAAGATTTCCTTTCTCAGTCAGATAGTTTTAATAATTTGAAAAGATGCATCAACAGTATTATTTTGATTGGTATCAGCATTTTTGAATATAAAATGTAATCTTAGTTTTAACCTTGTACTTGTTACACCAATGAACAGTAATAAATATTGAATTTACACCAACAATCATTGTCCATGTCTGCTGCCCTCTATTGATGGATTTGTAAATTGGCCAGTGTGCTGTAAAATGAGTATAGTTTTGATGTTCAGTGGTGTAATGGCCTACTCTTGTGTGAACTTGGTTGTATCTTCCACCCCAACTATGATACTGTTAAGGTAGAAGCCCAGTCATAATTTTCGACAAAATTGGTTATAAATCGCATGACAATGTTCATTAGTTTTGTGTGTTTAAGCTTTTTGAGAAATGTGTCCTAATATTTCTTGAAAATCGCTATTTTTAGAACAATTCCATGGAATGCAATGTTAAAGAAAAATTATAATAGTGTCAAAATTTCTCGAAAAAAAGGCTGGTGACCCCCAACTTTTTTTAGATCAATATCCTTATATTGCCTTGGAGTACAGTTTATTGCAAAATGAATAAATTCTGGGTATTTTAATTTATAAGTAGGCTTCTACCTTAATTAAGGAAGACCAAAGAATCTACTTCAATAGATCTCTACAGAGGGCGCTATACAGCTCTGTAATAATGAATCAAAAATTAAAGTTGCTTGGAAGCTATTGGCAGATCAACTGCTAAGTATTTGACTTGTAGCAATTATATAAAAATAACAACCTCTGTGAATGATGTCTACTAAAGTGAATGATAGATTGTGATTTTAAAGTATCAGACAAATTTTGCTCATATGTTTGCAGTCATTTCATATTTATTTTAATCAAATCATGCGTTTGTATCATCAACTTGCTGTATTTGTAAGACTGTGCTATTAAAACTCTCTCCTTGTAAGTCCTCGACCACCAAGTCTTTATTTTCATCGCAGTCAAATCCCAGGTTGGGCACTCCTTGGCATTCTGGGACTGGGTGTTGTGAAGGTTGTTCAGTAGATGACTCTGTATTCTGATTATTGATGTCTCTATCATTCCCGGATGAGGTTTTACAGTGTGTCACATTCTTCAGTGATGACTGGCGCATTGATAGACTAGCGAAGCTCTGTAAGGGAATGTCAGAAGAATCTTCTGACAGGATCATCTCTGTAATCAAAGAAATTAATTAATATAATACCTGTGGCATGGTTGCCTAGCAACTAGAAACTCTGGCACATGTTAACTGAGGATAACCTGCATGTGTGTGTACCACACATCAAATTTTGTCTCAAATTGTTTTCCAAAGTTGATTTGGGTGTGTATTTTTATTTTAATATAGCCATCAATTTTTATTTTATATAAAAAATAAATTTTTCTTTTGTGTTTTCTGTAACAAACACTTTCTTAAATATTAATATTGTCAGTGCCTTTCTCAGACTAAACTGTTCCAATGTTCCAATTGTGCTTATTCAACAACATCGTGAAATTCATTGAAACTGATTCAAATAAATTTGTAACAACTATGTAACAATAAAAAATGGTTGGTATATGCTAATGAATTATCACTAACTCAGTTTTTTTTGCCAACTGAGAATAAAATAAATAACAGGTAAATGTATACGTAGGTCAGGGGAACATTGGATGCTATTAGAGGAGATAATTGTACACTGTGAAGGGGAGAAAAACAAAGTTGCTTGTTCAACAGGATCTCTGTGACCATATGTGTTACATATTAGGTTTGTTGTATAGGTTTACATTCACTTAAGATGATTTGTACAGTACATGTATAATATATGAAGTCCCTCAATCGACAACCCTGTTAGGAAAGGATTTGATTTCTATTGTCTGCATGTGCATTTGTATGTTTATCTTATTAATTCTAATATAACACTATTTCTAAGGTATTTCTAGATCTGAGTCTGAATAAAATTAGCATATCATATCATATATCATATCATATCATATTATTTCACCCACATTGCTTTGATAGGCCACGGTCCTTCAAGACGGTGTTGAGGGACTGTGGATAGGCATACAAAGTACAGACCCTATTCTGCCTAAATCGTTCACTTAATGTGAATCGATTCTGGGTTGTAGAAATATAACAAGGATTATGTTGACTTCGATGATGAGGACATTAACTACTTTTTAGGGTGGGTCTACTGGATGGGTGCATTTATAATGACATACATTACACAAATTTCAGTTGCAATGCTGCAATTGTTGAGAAACTGTGGTATATATTCTCTTTTGTGAACAGAATGACATGATAACACTACCTTCATCATCATCCATAAATGGCTCAACTTTGACCCCTTTGCCTTCAATTCGCCTGTCGTACATATCAGCTAATGCATGAAAAAAGCGGTCCACCTTTCGTTCAACTGCATTCTGAGACTGAAACAAACAAGTAGATATTAAACCGTGAACGAAAGAAAGTAGGAAGAATATTTTTTTCTATATTGTACAAATTGTTGTTACTCACAGATGAATATTATCAATATGTCATAAAATACCAAATAGAGGATGCTAGGTGTTTTAGTTTTTCTATTCATTCTTACGAGATTTTATGATGATATGAATGCAAAGAATCAAGACTGGCAACATTTATAAAAATTCAGTAAAATTCATGTGGAAAAATTGTGAAAAATTAAAATATGTGGATTTAATTTGTGAATGTGACAAAAGTTGCCTTTGGTGCTGAAAGGGTTATAAAGATACAAATGTGGATTGAAAGATATTTCCCAACTATACATATTGTGTCAACATTAGATCAACTTCACACTGTTATGGTAATGTCAGTTGTTATGGTAATGTATTGAAATTCAGTGGCGGATCCAGAGGGGGGGGGTGTCCAGGGGGCCATGCTCCCCCCAAACGCATAGCTTCTCTTTGCGATTTTTGGCTCCGTAATGTTAAGCAAAGCCCCCCCCCCCCCCAATACATTTTGCTGGATCCGCCACTGTTGAGATTTCATATAATTGTGACAAATAGTAATAATCGCTTATAACTTACAGTATATGACAGGGAAGACGTTGATCGAAGAGACGCTGCTGACTGTGACCTGAATGGAATTGTGGATCCTGTTACAATAGAACCATGCATTGGAGCATTCCCTCTGGCTGCCACCTACAATATATATATATATATATATATATATATATATATACAAAGATAAAACCTCCAAAAAACACTGCCAATTTTTTTTTTTATTTTTAAAAACTCAACCATTTGTTCAAAAAAAAAAATTAACTTGCTACAGTATTTTTTTTTCTCAGACTGAAAAGATTTTACTTTCTGTCTGTGATTTTGAACAACATTTTTTTGTTAATAAATATACTCACTTAGAAATGACCAAATCTCACTGAAATATTGTTTTAGACACAATTGCATGGACAAAAGTGACCCCACCCTACACCCTATATCACATAAGATGCGATGTGAAAATTAACGATCAAGTAGTTGTCATTGTTAAAATCACTCGTATGATGAGGATCATAGAAAATTATGAACACACTACTATGGTGAATAAAAGACAATCATCAGTGAGAGGCTGTCAGACAGCGGCTAAATAGCCTTTCAAGACATATATTTGACATGATTCCACCCAAGGCCTTAGTAAGTTGTCATTCTGTACTGTAACCGTAAGTTTGCTTGACAAAACTGGATTTCAATAGACGGAGCACTCTACAGCCCTTACCCAGCAGTCATCTTCTTTACAAGTGATTTAATGTACAATGTCAGTATATATTGTGCATATGCTATTGCTTCACGTGTTCACATTTTGGAGATGACTGTACAAATTGGAGATAGTCTCAGCTATTTTCCCTTTAATGTATGATTTATCGTATAATTTATATAACCAACCTTAGATACAATTAGTGTAAATGTGCAATTTTGTCATATTTACTGATTTACCAATATTGTATTTTACAGATCACAAGTACATGTACACACAACATAAATTGAAACCCTTGCAATTTTTCAAGTATCATGCAAACTAATATATTAAATTGTACAAATGAATACAAAGAAGTGGTCAGGTCATTCAAATATATGTATGAGATGTATGTGCAATGTTCCCAGAAAAAACACACACCCACAAATGAATAAAAATTGTCTTGCATTCAGGAATAACAGCAGGATCAGTATAAGGGCACCAAGGCAGACTCATTGGACATCAATTAGACAATTTATATTCAATGCATTCAAGTAAGCCCTGATATCTGTTTATTGTGACAACTGTGAAATATATATTCTCTGGGATTTTCTAATAATTGCAGTAACTACTATAGATGCTTACTTGTGTCAATATCCTCCCTGCTTGTGTCTTCTCTTCTTTAAAAGGAAACGCTGGTAATAAATTATCATAATTACCAGGATCTGATAAATAACTTGTGAGATAAAAATAAGTGATTGAGATTAAACAACAGAATTTAGCAAGTGGTGTGCTTTCTGTAACTTAAGGCAGGAAACAACAACTTGAATTGCTGTTGCAATTAATTCTACTAGTTAAAATATTTCCTGAAATGAGTTTGATAACCCCCCTGCCTTCACATGACCAATCCCACCCCACAAAATTAGTATATTTACTTTTAAGTATAACTTTTTACCCCATTTGTCTCTTTTTGTTTTCTGCGCTTTATGTTTTCCTTCATACTAAATTTTGTATCAAATAAAATATTCATCTATTTTTTGTATTCAACTAGAAATAAATGAATATATTATCAGCTCATCATGAAATTAGTTTGAATGCAATTTGTACCAATCACAGATCTCCAATTGCTTACCAGACAAGTAATTTTAAAGCATCTATTCTGTCTGTGTTATACTTCACTGACTTTATGATGGCTTGAGCTTCAATACAGTTGCAAGCATACATTCTCTGCAGACAAAAAAACATGTGTAACATAAGACTATGCATGTATACTTTAAATTGGAAGGCAACATACAAGAAAAATTCAAAAATGTCATTTATATGTTTGCTTGGCAGACAGATGCAATTTGGAACTTTATACCTGCTCCGTCAATTTTTTATTGATGTGACAGTTAATTGTTAGCTTACATACAGAGAAAGCTCATGCAGTGGTGCTGGATTTCAAAGCTATTCTTCGGCTACAGATGTCACTTATGAATATAACAGCAAAAATGAAATATAAAAATAGAAAACTATCCATGATCAGTATATAGAGGTAATGTTTCAAGGATCAGAGCTTGTGTGAGAGACTGACCAGTGAGATCAGGGCTGTACACCATCACATCCTATATATCACATCAAATATATATATATATATATAAACAGATTTTCCACTAGTTTAGATATGACAACATTTCTCTTGCAGGAGCATAAATCATATGTGAATGGCATTGTGAGGCAAACTTGTCCCCAATTTATGATGAAGATTTGTTTGGTTCATGTTTGACTACCCTCAAGCAATATCCAACAGTGAGTTTGAAAGCATGCAGTCATTAATGGTTTACTCAAGTTCATGTTAGCCAAAGGCTTGCAGATAACTTTTTAGACTATAGTAGTTATTTTTTTGAATCCTGGAAATTTTTTTTGCTCTGCTGTTGATCTCAATTTCAGGGTGACAGTAATGCAAGAATAGCTTCTCGGTCCATGTGGCCCTGGTCTTGTTGCCCTGAACATTAGAGCAATAGCAGATCCACAGTATTGCTGCTCAAGGACCAGAGAGGAGTATGTGGGACAATTGCAGTTCTGGTTACAATTTCACAAGGGAATATAATTGTGCTATCTACAAATGTATATCAGTACTTTTACTAAGATTAGGGAGCACAGACTTATATATATCCAATGCAGATAACACATGAAACAAGTTTACGATGGGAATCAGCTACAGAGTAAGTTATCGGTATATGACCTAATATGAACTTTACAGTCACTCAGTAAGCCATTTAAGTATTGAGTGGTCATGCAGCAAAACAGAATATCAATTACACCACTGCAGAATACTTTACAATGTATTACCGTATTGCTGTCTACCAAGTGAGTAGAAATAGAAGTTTACCATTAGAAAGATAAAGTTTTGCCACAAAAATTAAATAAGTGGCAGAAAAAAAAAACTATTATATAAAAGAACAATACACCATTTTATATAGAAAGAGGAAACAAAACATTTTTACGTCATTCTGGAAAAAAAATCAAGCTAAAAATGAGATAAAAAATAATTAACACTTCGTTTCTACTTGCTCTGTTCTCAAAGTTTTTAATGGTTAATCTCTTATAATTGTCTCACAGAAAAAAAAATGAAAAAAACATTTGCCAAAATCATATTCTAGCTGTGATGTAAGAAATGTTAACCGTCACAATTTATGTTATAACTTAAAATGCACAATCTGAGTTTTGAAATTAAATAAAATTTATGACAATTAAATTGACTCATGTTGTATGTTTGCTTACGAAAAATTTGCTCACCTTTATTGAACATTCTTATGTTGATATGGTTGGTCTTGGCAACAGACAAAATATATTTTGTGAGACATGTTCAAATTTGGAATCCTTCCATAGAATGTTTGACCATGCAGAAAAAAAAAATATGTTTACCTAAATATAAATTATCCATGCCGGGAAGTCTCACACAAAATGAATGTTTACAGTTCCCACTTTTTAAAAATTTGCTAAAAAACAATTGCACGTTTACAACCAAGCTAGTAAAATTATGTGTCATATATGGTCATAGAATGGAAGTAAAATTATGTACTGTAGAATACTTTATTTTCGCTTGGAATTTATTTTCGCTATTTTCGCTGAAGGGTTGATTCCGTGAAAATAAAATCCGGTAAATATACATTTTTTCCTATATTTTACATTAATCTCATCAAAAATCAGTGAAAATAAATTCCAAGCAAAACGCCCAAAAAGCCTTTTCAGCGAAAATAAATTCCAGCGAAAATAAAGTATTCCACAGTATACCTCCATGGTGATTGTTAATTTTTGTTTGTTGATAAAGTATTGTAGTTTTGACGGTGAGCACTGTTTATGTTTTATAACTGCATATAGTGTGTATCCTGTACACAAAAATCAACATAAAAACAATAACAGAAAAGTTAATAATAGTGTCCCTTTAATTGTTTGAAAAATGGCAGAATGATTTAGTTTAGAAATTTTAAAAGCATGTGTAAATGAGAAACTAAAAGAAAAATGTTTGTGGCTTACCAAGGTAATCAAAGCATGGGCTTTCTATGCGCTATTTACATAGAAACTCGTGACTAAAGTCAAATACAGTAACTTGAGTAAGAGAAAGTGTTGACTTTGTTACCATGGTTTCCAAACAAATGTCAACAATGGGGTTGAACTGAAATAACATGATCATAATATCAACTTTGTGTAATATTTCAATTGAAAATATATATTTATCTTTTCGCCACCAGACATTCCCGCCAAGATTTTTCTGCACTTTTTTCTCATATTCTTCAGTATTTATTGAAATGAACCCTAATTTTAGAGCCAAAAGACAACATTTGTGTAAATTTTCTGTTTTTACTCAAATGATTTGGCTATTATGGTCCCAATCTTCTGAAAGAAAGTGCAGACTATACATACCAACATTTCCCCGTAATCTGGCTAAGACAGTTTTGCTCAAATTGACTTAGATTATTCATTAGTTTACCGACTTAGATAAAAAACAAAAGCGCACTAATTCTGAGTCTAATCAGCAATAATTCAGTGGAAAACAAAAAAAATGGGGTCATCGCACTTTTTAAACAATATAACAAATTATCCACGGTAATTACATATCACCATTTTTCAACAAAACAAAACAACCGAGAAAATGTTAAAGAATTCAAAATTTGGAAAAATAGCACCTTAATTTAATCTTACCCGTAACAATAGTGTAAGAGTTTTCAGCCTGACTGTACTATCATCTATCAGTTTCAGTAAGCTGCATACCTGTGTATTGAAACAAGGATTAAATCGATACCTAACAAATTTGAATTCATTGCACCATGAGTCAATGAACTTATAAAAAATAAATATTTGCAAAATAATGCTGTGATAAAATTATATTTTTGGCAACATGCCGGTTTCACTGTCATGTTTTTTTTTTCTTTCCTGGTACCCATAGTCATATAATCTGCTGTCTTGTACTTAGCCATGTTGTGCAGTTATCACGCAAATTGTCCAAATATTTATTCATTGTCTTGTCAAGTAAATGTTTGAAACATTGCAAAATCCCAGAATTTTCTTGCTCATTTACTTGTATATACGAGTCGGTGATTGTGAACCAACTTGGAACGTACATGTATTCAGAAAGAATATATCACACACAAACAAGAAATCAACAAGTGATTTATTCAAATTTTCCATCTATTATTATTTACTGTGATTATATGACAATGCATTACTACTATTGGCACTACAAACCAATTTCCTTCATTTTAATAAATATTTATAAATATAATAATTGAAACTGAAACAAGAGTTTTCTATTGGCCAATAATGATGTCATTATACTCTTTGATTGGTCGATTGGATTTAGCTGCATTTGAAATTTATAAATATTTATAAGTAACAAGAAAAGAAAGCGTTTGATGCGTCGATAGTATTATGATATATTAAAACTAACTATATTTATTTACAATTTGCTGAAAATTTGTACAATATTAAAATTATGGAGAATAAATAAATGAATTAATTTCAGTCAATGTCAGTCAATTGTAATACTATGATAACATCTTACTTCAATTACTTTTCTTGGCATAATGTTCGGTGATCTTATTGACATGTATCAAATGTAAAAAAACCATACTTCCACATTAGTACAGGATTAATATGACAAAAATTATTTTTAATTATATCGGTACTCTGTCAATTTGGTGTAAGGGGGTGGACTATTAGAAACTTTTTGTGGGGTAATGGCAGAAAAACTGTGCAAAATATTTTTTTATTTTTGTGCTACAGAGTATTTTTTTTTTTCATAATAAATTTGTTCTATGTTTTTTTGCTTTTTAAACTTTTTTTTTTTTTTTTAAATTTATATTGATCACGGCAATATTTTTTTTTCGTGTTTTTTGGCCATAATGACAAATTACATACATCAAGGGCTATTAATAAAACAAATACACAGTATTTTGTTTATTGTAGACATCAATATATTCAACAATTATGAATACCAACCTGTAGATAAGTAACTTCATCTTTAGTCGAAGAAATAATACTTTGTTTACAATAGTCCAATTTGGTCTTTATGAAACAAAATGAAAAAGCTGTCATTATTTAAATTTTAAACTTTCAATCGATATTGAATCAGAGTAAAGCATGTTGCCATAGCGATAGACACCGAGTTTTACTTGTTGTTGGAAGTCTACTTTACCTTCTTAACTCTGTTGCATAGCGATGCAAAGGAATCTTCGTTCATGTTCACAGGCCCCCACTAACAGGTCGGTAGATATCCACTGCTGTGCTGTTCAGTTAATCGACCGACAAGTGTTTAGCAGTGAATGACGTCACACTGTAAGACCTAAAAATAAACTGAGCCCATTTAGAAGTACATCACATGACCGCGTTGTGTCGTCACCGGAAGCGCTGTCCCAGCACAAACGGTGTAGAAGACGCCGACCTGCAACGTCAATGCACATGCCTTGGGACAGACCTCTGGAAATTGCGTCTTCAGCTTACTGATGATTACTTTAAATCATGGTTCACCGCCAGAGGGCGCAACGCCAGAGCAGAGCAAAACACCCTCACAAACAAAACAAAATACTCGTACACAACAGTGTCTTGGGTCCAGTAGGAGGTAGTTTATTTTTACAAACTAAGTGTTCATCCTAAATCTAAAAGCAGGTAAATGATAAGTCAAACCAGAACTAAAGACTATATCCCCCTGGAAAAACAAATTCAAAGCAAGCTAAATTCAAATGAATAGAAAATAACAAAATTGATAAGATTAAAGCAAAAACTACCAAACTGGTAAAATCATGAAAACAATTGTGAAAAGCATAAACTTGATAAGGTACAAGCACAAATATTGCAAGAAAATCATAACATGTTTCAAACATACAAGAGCAAAAACAATATAAGTAAAAAACTTGAATCGCCAGCCCCACCCTAGGAAAACAAAACTACAAAAGG